CCAATTAAAAAATGGGCAGAAGACATGAATAGACACTTCACCAAGGAGGATATTCAAGCTGCCAACAAACATATGAAGAAATGCTCATGATCATTTGTTATTAGAGAGAGATGGAAATCAAAACAACATCTTGCTCCAGCACTAGTAGCAAAGTTCAACAAGTCAGAAAATAACAAATGCTGGCGAGGTTGTGGAGAGATTGAAGAGTTTCAGACCAGCAGTGATGGATGTTGCATATTTAAAAAGCTGGAATGAATTGGAAGGTGTGGTTCAGTGGTAGAACTCTCGTCTTACACGCAGGAGACCGGCGTTCAGTTCCCAGCCAGTGTTCCTCCTGTGCAGCTCCCACCGTCTGTGGAGGCTTACATGTTGCTAGGATGCGGAACAGGTTTCAGCGGAGCTTCTGGGCTAAGAAGAGGAAGAAAGGCCTGGTGATCTACCTCTCAAAATCAACCAGTGAGCTCACGGTCCAACCTGCAGCTGAGGATGCACAGGCCAGGCAGCGTGTCCTCTTCATGTGTGCAGGTCGCCTTGTGTCGGGCCGACTCAGCAGCCTCCAGTAACAACCTCTGAGCCTTGTTTTGTCCCCCTGGGAATGGGTATGATAGCATCTGCCTCATGAAGCCACCTGCTGGGCGCTAATCAGATGAGCAGCTGTCCGTAAAGTGCCTGACGCACAGTAAATCAAGAAACCCGTCGCTGTCGAGTCAGTGCCGATCATGGCGGCCCTGTGTGTTACAGAGCAGCACTGCCCCGTGGCGTCTTCTTGGCCGTGATGTTTACGGAAGCTGATTGCCAGCCCTTTCTGCCATGGAGCTGTTGGGTGGGTTCAAACCACCAGTCTTTTTTTTTTTTTTTTCATTTTTATTGTGATTTGGGTGAAAGTTGACAGAGCAAATTCACTTTCCATACAGCAGCTCACCTACACTTTGTCTCAGGACATTGACTACAATTTCCCACAATGCAACAGCTCCTTTCCCACTTCCTCCCCACAGTTACCTCTTCCCTGTGTCCTTCCCTCCATGCACTCCTGCCCCCTGAGCTGTCTCCCTGTGCATACACAGCCCTTCTATTCTCCCATGATTGTTCTCTCCAAGGAGTGTTTCTACCTAGTGTAAACGTTCAGCTCATATGCCTGTCTTTTGTTTGGCTGGAAGCCACGGGTATGGATTTAATTCCAGACCTGAAGGGCAACTAGGGGCCAGAGTCTCAGTGTTCCAGCAGGCTCTATCAGACCAGCAAACTTGGTCCTTTTCTTTTTTTATGATTTTGAGTCAAACCACCAATCCTTATCTCAAACTGCTTGATCCAAACACACAATAGGCCCTCAATTCATGGGGAGCCTGCTGGGGCTGTTGCAGTGGTGCAGGGTCAAGGTGGTAGAGGCCTAGCCCAGGGCTCCAGCTTGGAGAAGTATTTAGGAACTGGAACAGATGAGGTGGTTGGTTGAGTGTGGTGGACTGGGGTGTAGGGAAGCCACACCCTGCAGCTCCCTCTCTGCCCGACGCTGGGGCCTGAGCTCCACGTCCTTCCCAGCTTCTTGGCTCTTGTTCCTATTTGCATCGTGTTGAAGGGAACAGTGTGGCGTCAGCGAAGGAGCATCGACTTTGGAACCAAGACTCTCAGCGCGGATCGTGGTTGTCACTCATGGGCTGTGTAACCTTGGGCAAGTGGCTGCCCCCTCTGAGTTTTATTTTCCTGATCTGAAAAATGGAGATAGGAGCCTCTCACACAGGGTCTTTTCCTTTCTACGCTTTATTGTAGTTTGGGTGAAATTTACAGAGCATATTAGCTTCCCATCCAACAATTTCTACATGTTTTGTTCGGTGACATTGTCTGCAGTCTCCTCACTGTGACAGCACTCTTCCCACCTCCTCCCTGGGTTCCCCGTTTCCATCCGCCCTTCCTTCCTGCCCCTTCCTGCCTTCAGAGCTTTGTTTTGGGGCAAGTGCTGCCTTTTTGGTCTCCTAGGGTTGATTGTGCTGAGCACATTCTTCCCTGCTGTTACTGTTCCCATTATGGACCTATCTGAACTTTGGTCCCCAGGGCTGGCTTCAGTTCCAGGCTGCAAGGGTGTGTGAGGGCCACGGTCGTGGGGTTTCCAGAAGTCTCTATTAGACCAGTGAGTCTGGTCTTTTTCATGATTTTCAGGGCTGTTGTACATTTTCCTCCCATGCTGCCCCAGGAGCTTCTGTCGTGATCCTGATCAGAGTGGTTGGTAGTGGTCGTCTGGCAGGGTTCTTGGAAGCTTAGACTGAATTTTGCTGCAAATAATTCAAAAACAGTTGCAGCAGTACATTGACAGGGAACTGCTGGAAATTCAAGCTGGATTCACAAGAGGATGTGAAACAAGGGATATCATTGCTGACGTCAGATGGATCTTGGCTGAAAGCAAAGAATGCTGAAAGATATTTACTTGTGTTTTATTGATTATGCAAAAGCGTTTGATTGTGTGGATCATAACAAATTATGGATAACATTGAGAAGAATGGGAATAATGGAACACTTAATTGTGCTCACGAGGAACCTGTACATAGACCAGGAGGCTGTCGTTCAAACAGAACAAGTGCACACTGCATGGTTTAAAATTAGGAAGGGAGTGTGTCAGGGTTGTAACCTTCCACAATACTTATTCAGTCTGTATGGTGAGCAAATAATCTGGGAAGCTGGACTATAGGAAGATCGGAGGAAGACTCGTTAACAACCTGTGATACACAGATGACGCAACTTTGCTTGCTGAAAGTGAGGATGACTCGAAGCACTTACTGATGAAGATTAAAGACTACAGTCTGCAGTAGGGATTACACCTCAACATAAAGAAGTCAAAAATCCTCACAACTGGACCAGTAAACAGCATTACAGTAAATAGAGAAAAGATTGAAGTTGTCAAGGATTTCATTTTACTTAGATCCATAATCAACACCCATGGAAACAGCAGTCAGGAAATCAAATGACATATTGCACTGGGCACATCTGCTGCCGAAGACCTCTTTAAAGTGTTAAAGAACAAAGATGTCTCTTTGAAAACTAGGGAGTACCCAACTCACACCATGGTGTTTTCAGTCCCCTCATATGCATGTGAAAGCTAGGCAATGAATAAGGAAGACTGAAGAAGAATTGATGCCTTTGAATTATGGTGTTGGTGAAGAATATTGAATATATCAGGGACTGTCAGAACAATGAAAAAAATCTGTCTTGGTAAAAGTACAGCAGAATGTTCCCTTGAAGCAAGGATGGCATGACTTCATCCATGTTCTGGGGACATTTTATCAGGAAGGACCAGTCCTGGAGAGAGATGTCATGCTTGGTGAAGGAGAGGATCAGTGAAAAAGAAGACGGCCCTCAATGAGATGCAATGACACTGGCCGCAGCCATGGGCTCAGGCGTAACGACAACTGTGAGCATGCTGCATGCCCAGGCATATTTCATCGTGTTGTACAAACACAGGATGCAGGGTCCTGTGACTCAACCCACTCAACAACACCTACCAACAACAACAGCCACCTAGTGGGGGTCCTTGGTTATAGCAGCCCTAGGAGACTCGGACAGCAGTAACCCATGTTCTGGCCTTTCCCCATTCTTGTCCTCTCAGCCTGGGTATAGATTGAAATGACTACGTCCTTGCTGGGAACTCTGGTGGCGTAGTGTCTAAGGCACTTGACTGCTAACCAGAAGGTTGGCAGTTCCAACCCACCAGCCACTCCTCTGAAGTAAAATTGGGCAATCTACTTCTGTAGAGATACCGTCTCAGAAACCCAAGGAGAGGTTGCTGTGAGTCGGAGACGACCCAGTGGCACATAACAACAACACAACAGGTCCTTGCCGCATAGCTTCCCTCACTGTTCTGCTCAGAGGGCATCCAGGTGACATTGTCTCTCAGGACGTATACAGGACACGTTGCCAGCTCAGTCAGATGCCGTTTCAATGCCCCACGTGGAAGAAGAAATAAACCCTGTGTGTTCCCTGTAATAGGGTGTCCTATTCTGAGGTGAACTTAGCCATTGGGCATCAATACTTTCTCACAGAGCTCTTTCGTCAAACTTTAGGTAAAAAGCTTTGAAATCGACTTAGATGCCATTTTCAGCCTGTTTGGAATTGTTGAGAAGGGTCTGTCATGGTACCCGGCTCCTGGATCGCCTCCCAGTCTTCAGTCATTTGAAAATGGCTGTGTCACGGGCATTTGTTAGCACTGGCTTTGCAAAGTGCTGCTGGCCACCCTAAAAGGACACAGATAGAACAAGGATGTGCGCATGTGGGGGCAGGTTTTGCATATGCCCATCTGGCTATGTTCAGGAAAGCTTCTTGGTGGGAGTATTTCCTGAGCAGACTTTGAGAGCATCCTGTTACTACCAGGAGCTCTGGTGGCACAGTAGTTAAGGCATTCAGCTGCTAACCAAAAGGTTGGCAGTTTGAACCTATCAACTGTTCCATGGGAGAAAGATGAGGCAATCTGCTGCCATAAAGATTTGTAGCCTTGGAAACTCTATGGGGCAATTCTGCTCTGTCCTCGGGGGTGCTGTGAGTCAGGATTGACTCGACAGCAGTGGATTTTGGTCTGTTACTGCCACCATTCCTAGCTACCCATTGCTGGTCCCTGGTGGAGGAATTCCACACCTGTTCACTATATGGAACAACCAAGGCTCAGAAGTTCAAAGACTTTGCCCAGTCACAGTTGGCAATGGTTACATAACATGATTAATGTAATCAATGTCACTGAATTGTATATGTGAAAAATAGTAAATTGGAAAATGTCATTTTATATATATTTTAAAACAATTTAAAAAAAAAAAAAGCCCAACCACTTATTTTCATTGAAAGGCCTGACACAAATTCTTGTATGCATATTGCTTATACTCCTTGTTGTCTTTGCACATGTTTATACCCCTCGCTGTGCTAAAATTATTTTGTGGTTTGCTTTTTCCATTAAAAGGTGAGTTATGATTTTTTAAAGACTCTTATTAATTATTGTCATGTTATTTAAATCTTTATTTCTTCCACAGCTAAAGAATTAGAATTAAATGAAGAATGTATCATTCTCTTTTAATATCATCTGTCCATCCATCCATATATTCATCCATCCATCTACCCACCCATCTGTGCATCTCTTTACCCATCTATCCACCTATCCATCCATCCATCCATTCAATCAACAATCTATCCATCCACTCACCTTTCTGTCTACCCATCTATCCACCAACCATCCATTCTTCCATTCAGTCAACCAGCCATCTACCCATCCATCTATCCACCATCCTACCATCCATCCATCATCCATCCATCCTCCACCCTCCATTCATCCAGTCAACCATCCATCCATCCATTCATTTAATCATTCATTCATCCACCCATCCACCCATCCACCCATCATTCTGACAACCAAACCAAACCAAACTCAAGTGCCATTGAGTCGGTCCTGACTCAGCGACCCCTCCTTGGGTTTCCAAGGCATTAACTCTATGGAAGTAGCAAGGAAGCACTTACTTGGATCTCAGTGTGCCTGCTGGTGGCCCCTTCCTGACATGACTGTTACCCATGGGATGTGGCACTTGGCCAGTGTGTGGCTGCCCCTTATTTCATAGAACTTCCTGTGTCATTTGTTCTCTTTCCTTCCTAGGAACGTGAGCCTTCTTTCAACAACAACATCACGGCATTTGCACTGAAGGCAAAAGTCGTCTATCCCATCAATCAGAAATTCCGGGTGAGAGTTCGGAGCTTGTTTCAGAAATGCAGTTATGCAGTAATGTAGAGATTGCGGTGGGAGATGGGGGATCACATGCACAATCCTTGGTCCTATTTGAGGATTTCATGGCATTTTAATAGGGATCATTTTGAGGCTTTTTAATGGAGCCAAACTTGAGAGTTAATTCATTTAATGAAAACATTGTCAGGAAACAGGGTACATCCATGTTATATCAAGGTAAGGAATTAATGTGTTTTTTTTTGTCCCCAGGGACACCAGGGGACATTATAGAAGGGCAAGAACACAGAAGGGCATGTGAGCACCGCCCTGTTCTTTTAACATGAATACAAGTACTAATAGTGGGAAAGTGAGGACCACCAGTCCTCAGACACAGGCCCCGGGGCTGCAGGAAAGCCAGCAGCCATCACGTTACCTCCTGAACACTTCCTGTGGGATTGCAGAGTGCCAGGTCTCTGCTACACCTTAGCTCCCCAACCTTGCAATAATCCTACAATAGCATCCTGAGCTCCACTTTACATGTGAGGACACTGAGGCCCAGAGAGGCTAATGACCTGCCCAGGGCCGCACAGCAGGAAGTGGCAGAGCCTGTGTCAAACCCAAGCAGATCCTACACCTTGAGCCAGGAATTCACCCTGTGGCCTGCTGGTTCGCAGAGATCAGTCCAGGCTGTAGTGCCACAAGGAGCCCTTAGCCCATGAGCAGGTCTGTGAAAACAGGTTCTGGTCCAGTGAGTTTAGGAAAACACTGCCCCCATCCTGTGTTGACGAGTACAGGCTTGGGGGCCATACTGCCTCAATCCACATTCCTATCCCAGCCATTTGCTGTGTGTGGCCTCAGTCTCTTCACCTCTGGAGCAGTGAGGCTCCCACCTCACCTGCTTGTTGAGAGCATTGAACAGGATCACATACATGAGGGCTTGGAGCAGTACGTGCAACACTGTAAGCACTGTGTGCTTGGTAGGGTTGGGGTTTGTTTTGTTTTTTAATCATTCCAGTAAGTCCCTAGGTTAACATCCAACTTACAGACAGCTCCTGTTTGCATTTTAATATTGTCTGTTCGCCCTCACTTTGACATGATTGACCCAATACCTACTCGCAACAAATTCTTCATCATGGTCACCTTCACTTGCTGGAACTTTTACATCATTGAAAAGGCTTCAAGCTTTTTCTTGCACTAAACCAAAAAACCCAAACCCACTGCATTGAGTCAGTTCCAACTCATAGCAACCCCCATTGGGTTTCCAAGGCTGTAAATCTGTATGGAAACACACTGCCTCATCTTTCTTCTGCGGAACGGCTGGTGGGTTCGAAGCACTGACCTTTTGGTTAATAGCCAAATGTCTTGACCACTTGCAAAAGGGGCAAGGACGTAGCATCTTCTAACCTCCTCTAACTACACAAGAGGAGGACAGAATCACCATCAGCAGTCCAGTGCCTGCTTCTATGAGGCCAGACATGCCACCACCCTCCAACCCTCTTACTAACCTTGTCACCAACCATTCTTCCCAAGGCACCCACCACCTCTCTGCTGGGTTTGATAATTCTCTGCAGTGGCCACACAGAACTCACAGATTATGGAGTTTATTAGGGAAGCAACAGCCTACAATTCAAGTTCAGGAACATGCTTGGTCTCTTGCAGCTGGCTGTCTCACTTAGCAGCTGCCAGTCTCTCTCAGTAGCACGTCTTTCTCTCAGCAGCATGTGTCCATCACGTGCCTCTCCGGTGCCCTCTCTCTCTCTCTCTCTCTCTCTCTCAGCAAGTGCATCTTTCTCAGCAGTGCGTCTCTCAGCCGGCAGTGAGACATTCCCTTCTTCCTGCCTCTAGGAGGGCTCCTTTTTGAGCCTGGCAGAGTGGCCAAAACCAACCAATCCCAACACCAGAATTCTATACACCTGAGAAAGTGAACTTCCCAGAAGATTGTTTCGTGCTGCTCCAACAGAAATATACCAGGTGGATAACTTTAACAATCAGCTACTCAAGACAAAAGAGGAGTTGCATAGACTATGGCTAGAAAAGCCATGTAATTTACTACACTGCACCACTGCACCACCAGAGCTCCTTTATCTTGCCCTAAAGTAAGGCTAAATAAGAACCATATGCACCAACAACAACAACAAAAAAAACTCCCTGCCATCGAGTCATATCCAACTCATAGCGACTCCTCCTTGGGTTTCCGAGGCAGTATCACTTCGAAAGTAGATTGCCCAACCTTCTTTCCAAGGAGTGTCTGGGGGGTTTGAACCGCCAGCCTTCTGGTTAGCAGTCAAATGCCTTAAGCACTATGCCACCAGAGCACTTACTTCCCTACAAATTTGACTTAAAGATACCCTTAGCTACAGACCTTGTTCATTAATTGGGGCCTGCCTTCCTTGCCTTTGAAGGCACCCTGAGCACCTTCAAGGTTTTGAGAAGCCCCACATCAAAGAAATCAGTGCATGCTGGTTAACTGAGCCTTTCCCAAGTCAGTTTCTCCACGGAATCCCGCTTGTGAGGAGTAACTGGTTATTGTTTGTGGAGCTGTTCCCTGGAACACACATTGGGAATCCCTTCTTTGGTTTAGCTCTCTCTGATGGGTGAGTGAAGAGGCAAAACTCCCGAGCTGGGGTGTTTCTTCACCCCCTACACATCACCCAGCAGTCCCTGTGTAGGCCCCATGGTGGGCTTTGCAGACTAGCTAGGAGTCAAGACAGCCTCCTCCTCACCCTGGAGTCATCACATTGAGACAGTGCATGATAGGTGACAGAAACAGCCATGGGCCTATGGGACCAGGACACCCAGGGAGGCTCCGGGTCTGTGCTGGCAGGGACACTCCAGCCCAGCAAAGCCCTTGGGGAGGGTGTTTTGAGTGTGGCCCAGGCCTGGGGAGACCAGAAGGATGAGGTGACAGGAAGGCTGTGGGTCAGCGGCCAGCTCAGTGTTGTTCAGGCTGCGTAGCAGCAGGTGACGGGGCCAGGCAGAGGTGGTGGCCGACACTGCTGAGCCCCAGGCCGTGCCAGGCATCAGCTCTTACCTTGTATCTCACAGCAGTGCCTCCAGCTCAAGTCCTTATTAAGGGGCGTTGGGCCTGTCCTGAGGGCAGCGGGGGCCACCTTGAAGACTGCAGGCAGGAGGGTGATGTCACATTGTAGGTGGAGGGGATCTGGGTGGACAGCAGGCAGCTAAGCAGATGGGGTAGGCCCAGGGTCTGGGCCAGCAGCACAGAGAGGTGGGGGAGGGACAGTGGGGAGCTAGTGCAGGAGGGCAGAGCTGCCAACACATGGGCCCCCAGAGAATAGAGCCCAGGTAACAGCCTAGGGTTAGGGCTCCAGTGCACAGGGACTGCCTTTATGGGGGCAGGTGCCCAGGGTCCCTGGGGCATGGCTGTGGCTGGGATCCAGGGACAGAAGCTCTTACCTGTCCATCTGCCAGTCACCAGTCTGCTCCAGCAGGCCTTGCCGTGGGCCACCCCCAGTGATCACTGCTGTCAGTCATACACCAGCCCACCTGGTTTTAACCACGTGTAATTCTCTTCTGCCTTAGCCTCTTGCCGATGGTTCCTCCAACCCGTCTTTGCATGAAAACCTAAAGCAGGCTGCTCTGCCGAACCAGGCGCTGGAGGCCTCCCCATCCAGCAGCCTGGGAAGCCTGAGCCAGGTCGGCAAGGATGATGGGAGCTCCTCATCCAGCATCCGCTCGGCCACCAGCGACGACAGGTTCCTCAGCCGTACCTTCCTCCAGGTGCACACTTTCCCCGAGGTGCTGACCTGCGAGAGGTAAGGATGATGGAGGGGAGAGGTAGGTCCTCCAGCGCTCTCAGAGCCAGCCGGTGGCTTATTGTCAGATGAGGAAACGGATGCTCAGAGAGGTTAAGGGACTGAACCAAGAACACACAGCAGCCCAGTGTCAGAGCTGTACAGTGTTTGCTGGGATTAGAGCTACAGAGGGATGTCAAGGGCCTGCTTGAGTAGTAGCTGATGTGACCTGGGCATTGCAAAGCAGCAGCTGGCCCTGGGTGACTGCCTACCATGTACTGGGCGCTGAGCACCCTGCATGGATCAGCTCGTTTGCTGCCATGTCCCTATTACCCAGTGGGAGCAGTTGATCAGGTTCAGTGATCATTAATTACTTATTAATTAATTATTGAATTAATTCCTCCCAACAGCCCTATGCTACCACTCATCTGCCAGTCTGTCATGCTGTGGTGGTTTGCATGTTGCTGTGAGACTGGAGGCTGTGTCACTGTATTTCAGACACCAGCAGGGCCACCCATGGGGAACAGGATTCAGTGGAGCTTCCAGCCTAAGAGAGATTGGGCAGAAGGACTGGCCATCTCCTTGTGAAAAATTTGGCCACTGAAAAAACTTATGAATAGCAGTGTAACAGTCTGATACAGAGCTGGAGAGCTACTAAAGCGAATAGAAGACATGATCAAATAAAAGAGCTGAACAGACGATTTCAAAGGGCAGCTTGAGAAGACAAAGCAAAGTATTATAATGAAATGTGCAAAGACCTGCAGTTAGAAATCCAAAAGGGAAGAACATGTTTGGCATTTCTCAAGCTGAAAGAACTGAAGAAAATTTGACCCTTGAATTGCAATATGGAAGGATTCTACGGGCAAAATATTAAATGATGCAGGAGGCATCAAAAGAAAATGGAAGGAACACAGAGTCACTGGACCAAAAAGAGTTGGTCAGCATTCATCCATTTCAGGAGGTAGCACATGATCAAGAACCAGTGGTACTGAAGGAAGAAGTCCAAGCTGTGCTGAAGGATTTGGTGAAAAACAAGGCCCCAGGGATTGACGGAACACCCTTAGAGATGTTTCAAGAAATGGGTGGTGTGCTGGAGGCACTCGGCTATGCCAAGAAATGTGGAAGACAACTACTTGGCCAACTGATTGGGAGAGATCCATATTTGAACCCATTCCAAACAAAGGTGATCCAACAGAATGTGGAAATTGTTGAACAATATCATTAATATCACATGCAAGTAAAATCTTGCTGAAGATAATTCAAAAAGGGTTGCAGCAATATATTGACAGGAAACTTCCAGAAATGCAAGTTGGATTCAGAAGAGGACATGGAAAGTGGGAAATCATTGCTGATGTCAGGTGGATCTTAGCTGAAAGAAAAGAATACCAGAAAGGCATTTACCTGTGTTTTATTGATTATGCAAAGGAATTTGACTATGTGGATCATAACAAATTATGGTTAATATTGTGAAGAATAGGAATTCCAGAACACTTTATTTCCTGGCCCCCTAGAGCCAGGAAAGGGAGGGAGCAGAGCGGCCAGGGACAACAGAAGTAGCAGGATCCAGGTAAGGGGCAGGAGGCAAGGCTAGGCCCCAAGCCCCCTACAGCCAGGGAAGGGAGGGAGTGGCCAGGGACCACAAAGTGGCAGCTTCCAGGTAGGATTTAGGTAACGGGAGGGCGCAGAGGTTTCCAACAGCTAAGGGAGACAAACTTGCCTGTCAGTTTGTCATCCTGTGGGGCTTGTATGTTGCTGTGAGGCTTGAGGCTGTGCCACTGGTGTTTCAGATGCCAGCAGAATTGCACATGGTGCACAGGTTTCAGCACAGCTTACAGACTAAGACAGAATAGGAAGAAGCAAGAGTCCATCCACTTCTCAAAAATTGCCCATGGAAAATCTAATGAATAGCAGAGAAACACTGTCTGATACATTACTGAGCAACTTTATGAATAGCTAGGAAACATTCTCCAACACAGTGCAGAAAGATGAGCCCCTTGGGTTGTAAGGCACTCAAAATAGGACTGGGAAAAAGCTGCCTCATCAGAGTAGAACAAACCTTAATGATAAGGATAAAGTAAATCTTTCAGGACCTCCATGTGCTGACATGGTATGACTCAAATTAAGGAGAAACAGCTGCAAACATCCATTAATAATCAGAACATGGGATGTATGAAGTATGAACTGGAAAAACTGGAAGTTGTCAAAAATGAAATGGAACACACAAAAGGTTGATATCCTACGTATTAATGAGCTGAAATGGACGGGTTTTGGGCATTTTGAATCAGACAACCATATGATCTACTATGCTGGGAATGACAAATTGAAGAGGAATGGTGTGGCATTCATCATCACAAAGGATGTTTCAAGA